CCTTATTCATGGAGGATTATTTTATTTGGTCGTATTGGATTATGTAATTTCTTCGTGAATATTATTTGGTTTGTTCGAGGAGTTTACGTGATTTGTTCGTGGGCATTATTTTATTTCGTCGAGAAGATATTATTTGGTTTACTTATGGAGGATTATTTGATTGGATTGCGAAATTATTTGACTTGCTCGAGGACTTGGATTATATTTATATAATTGGATATCTTTATGCACTTGGACCATTTATTTGGATTTTCGTGTGGAAATGTGGAATCATGTCAAATTGATTATTCATAATCTTTAAACATGTCATTGCTCGAGCATGTCTTAAGTCGAGGAGATGGTGATATTTATATTTGATCTCTTGCTTTTCTTGCGTGAAGCATTACAAAACGGATAACTTGAATATAATGTGGATGATGATATCTCTCTGAATTCTTTTCGAGGAAATAACGAAATAACCCGAGCCTTGACGAGCTATGGCGGAGGAGTTGTTAAGTGTCGAGGACAAAATGGACGAGCATGGATCTATACAAGAAGGGTGATAATGAAGCACGAGCATGGATGATGTCGATCACCGGTGGCAACCTCAAAGGCGAAAATCATTCTCTTTTGGAAAGGTAAGACAATTTGGAGCGGTATTCTCGACCGTCAGGTACAAAACTATTCTCAACTCTTGATTTGGTGGTCGAGTTTGATCGACACATATGAATGTTTGAACATTTTTGGCGAAATTGATGGCATGGTGAGGTACATGGGCATGTTTGGATTATTATTTCGATGACTAACAAAAGGATTGGGTGTTATTATATCTTGTCGTGTTCGATGTTTTCCTTTTCGACCTCAGTGGCAGGTCGAAGAATTCGAGCACACGGTATCATGTACAACCAGGAAAATGAGGTCGATTAAATTTGATATTTTTTATCTCGTTCGACGTAATTATACATTTGAAGACACAAACGGAAATGATCGATTACTATCCTATCTTGCTGTATTTGGTGTTTCTCCCTTTGACCTCAGTGGCAGGTCGTCTGAGTGAAGAAAAAAAGCCCTTCGTTTTTGGCACACCCCGCTCAAGGGGTGGGCGAAGGTCGTTTGCTCTCGGTACATTCCTTGGGGTGGGCAGGTGGTCACAAAAGTCTACGCCTCCGGGCTGGACGACCACCATGCTTTCGGAACATCCCTTGGGGTGGGCAAGTGTCAAGAAAAAAGTCCCTCATTTGTGGAACATCCCTGATCCCACGATAGGGGTGGGCGAGTGGTCGCTCGTTTTCGGAACACCCCGCTCAAGGGGTGGGCGAGTGTCAAGACCAAAGCCTTTCGTTTTTGAACACCCCGCTCAAGGGGTGGGCAAAGGTCGCTTGCTTTCGGTACATTCCTTGGGGTGGGCAGGTGGTCACAAAAGTCTACGCCTCCGAGCTGGATGACCACCATGTTTTCGGAACATCCCTTGGGATGGGCAAGTGTCAAGAAAAATGTCCCTCGTTTGTGGAACATCCCTGATCCCACGATAGGGGTGGGCGAGTGGTCGCTCGTTTTTGGAACACCCCGCTCAAGGGGTGGGCGAGTGTCAAGACCAAAGCCCTTCGTTTTTGGAACACCCCGCTCAAGGGGTGGGCGAAGGTCGCTTGCTTTCGGAACATCCCTTGGGGTGGGCAAGTGTCAAGAAAAAAGTCCCTCGTTTGTGGAACATCTCTGATCCCACGATAGGGGTGGGCGAGTGGTCGCTCGTTTTCGGAACACCCCGCTCAAGGGGTGGGCGAGTGTCAAGACCAAATCCACTTGTTTTCGGAACACCCCGCTCGAGGGGTGGGCGAGTGGTCGATCCTAGTGTTGGGTCATGAAGACTTGGATCTTATTGGAGACCTCAGAGGCAGGTCAATGATTTCTGCTTGGTTGAATTTGGTTTGATATTATTATATATTGGTCCCTAACAGTGGCAGGTCGATCAAACCCGCTATGGATAGCTCGAGCAGGTTAATGGATGCATTATATTCGATTTTGTGGTACTTGTGCATTTAACCCCAATGGCAGGTCGATCAAACTCGCTATTGATAGCTCGAGCATGTTAATGGATTCATTTTATTTGGTTTTGTGGTACTTGTGCATTTAACCCCAATGACAGGTCGATCAAACTCGCTACAGATAGCTCGAGCAGGTTAATGGATTGATTATATTCGGTATTGCTATATACTTGTGTATTTAACCCCAATGGCAGGTCGATCGAAATCGCTACGGATAACTCGAGCAGGCAGTGGAATGGAATCATTACGACTCAAGCAGGTTGATTGCATTTTATTTTGATTATGGTTTTGTCGAATCAACTTTCGACTTCAAAGGCAGGGAAATAGGATTCATTACGACTCAAGCAGGTTGTTTATGGATGCTGGTGTGGTTGTTCGTTGATTTTGGTTTTGTCAAATTTGTCTCTTTCGACCTCTTTGGCGGGTCGAGTATATTCATTTTGCTTGAGCAAGTTATTTATGGATGCTGGTGTGGTTGTTCGTTGATTTGGGTTTGTCGAATTTGTCTTTTTCGACCTCTTTGGCGGGTCGAGTATATTCATTTTGCTCGAGCA